CTTTGTTCATTTTGTTTCTTTTCAAACAAATACCTCTTTGTGTCATGTATCATTCATCTTGTTCTCTTAGTTCCTATGTCATATGATTGTACTCTGATCTGTATTATTTTATTCATTCTAAAATTTGGGTATGATTTGCTCTTGATTTTATAAGACCTTGAGATACAACATTAGGTTGCTATATTTTAAGTCCTTCTACCCTTTTAATGTAGGCACTCATTGCTAAAAATGTCTCCCAGTACTGCTTTTGCAGCATGACACAGGTTTCGGTATGTTTTCTTTCCATTTTCATTTGTTTCAAGGGATGTTTTCAATTTTCCTTCTGACTTCCTCAACGACTGTTTGTTCAAAGGTATGTTGTTCAAACTCCATATCTTTATATAATTTGTATATCTACTCTTGTTCTTGATTTCTAGTTGCATTCCATTGTGATCAGAAAGGGTACAGGATATAATTTCAATTTTTTATAAATATCCATTAAGACTGATCTATAGTGTAGTTAAAGTCTGATATTTGTTTACTTTTGTCTGAATGATCTATCATTTGTGAGAGTTGGATACTGAAATAATCAACTATAGACAACCTCTCCCTTTAGGTACAACAGTAATTGTTTTATAAAACTGGCTTCTCCATTATTAGATGCATATAGATTTATAATTGTTATATATCTTTTTATTTTTTCAATTTGTTCTCCTTTGTTATCATGATAGAATGTATTTTGACACATCATATATACATGGATATAACTTCCCATTTTTGTGGTTGTACATGATCTTGATGAAATGATCCCTTGATCAGTATATGATGGCCTTCTTTGTCTCAGTGTTTTTGTCTTAAAGTCTATTTTGTCGGATATAAGCATAATTCCTCCTACTTGTTTTTGGATTCCATTAGCTGGGAATGCCATATTCTGTCCTTTCACTTTCAGTATGTGTGTGTCTTTATTTTCAAGGTGAGTTTCTTGTAGGCAGCATATTGTTGAGCCTTGTGTTTTAATCTATTCTTCCAATCTTTTTATTTTATTTTTTATTTTTTATTTTTTTCATTCTTAGCATTTTATTTTTATTTTATTTTTTTTTATTGTTGGTTGTTCAAAACATTACATAGTTCTTAATACATCATATTTCACAGTTTGATTCAAGCGGGTTATGAACTCCCAACTTTACCCCGTATACAGATTGCTGTATCACATCAGTTACCCTTCCATTGATTGACATATTGCCTTTCTAGTGTC